GTACAGCTCTCTTTTTTTTTTTTTTTTTTTTTTTTTTTTGCTAAAGGACAGGCAGAGAGCTAAGCCTCCAGCACAGCAGCTGGAAGGATTAAAGGCTCAGATGCTGAGAAGGCCCACTTTCTGGTAATTCCACCAAGCCTCAGTCCAGGACAGAGAGAAACTGCCCAGGAAAGAACTATGAACAAACAAGCTTTCCGACTCCCTCAGTGACAAAGCAGGGGCAGGGCAATTCCCAGTGAAATGAAACACAACTGCTCACTGCAGCAAAGATGGGAGACAATGATTTGAGACAGACAGCAACTGGAGTTGCACTTCCAGATTTCTTTACATCTTGCCCCAAAATGTAGGTCCCCCTGAAGTTTTAAAGTACATTTTAAGAAAGTATTAAAATCTCACTAACTATGAAATACTAGAAACTGATTAAAGTCAAGTCAAAGAGGAAGAGTTTTTCTTCTCGGGTTTAATAGGTTGTGCCAAAAAGAGAAGCTCTGAGTACTTACCTGCTAAATCCCAGTAGGTCCGAGAGCCACTGAGAGCAGCCTCTGTCTCAGGATAAAATGGGGTGTTTAGTTGAAATGCAGACTATTAATGGACCTAACTTCTGGGATGAAGCCCATTAATCTGCATTTTTAATAAGCTCTCCTGGGGACTGATCCTTCAAACAAAGTTTGAGAACAGTTCTGTTCCTGGAGTACTCTGATCCTGGAGCATCCACCTAGTCAATTCATGTCACTTTCCAAGGACACTTCAGGCTTCCCAAACATATTGGAAAATAACAGATGTAAGGTGAAAGCTCCCCAAATGCCCTTTTCATATAGCTTTGAATTGATCTATCCCGGCTGCTGTGCAGGTCCCTGGCTTATTTCTGTATCCCCAGAGCATGGAACACAGTTGGTCCTCACTGAAGAACTGCTACCAGCCTGGGCAACATAGAGAGGCCCTGTCTCTATTAAAAAAAAAAAAATATATATATATATATATATTTTAAATTAGCGAACATAGTGGTGGACAACTGCAGTCCCAGCTACTTGGGAGACTGAGGCAGGAGGATTACTTGAGTCCAGGAGGTTGAGCCTGCAGTGAGCCCTAATCATATCACTGCACTCCAGCCTGGGCGACCTTAGGTGATTCTGAGCCTGGAGTCCAGAGAACTGCATTTCAATACTTGTATAAAAGCAAACATGGCCCGGGCGTGGTGGCTCAAGCCTGTAATCCCAGCATTTTGGGAGGCCGAGGCAGGCAGATACGAGGTCTGGAGATAGAGACCATCCTGGCTAACATGGTGAAATCCCGTCTCTACTAAAAATACACACACACAAAATAGCCAGGAGGGGAGGTACACACTAGTAGTCCCAGCTGCTAGGGACGCTGAGGCAGGAGAATCATTTGAACCCGGGAGGCGGAGGTTGCAGTGACCCGAGATCGCGCCACTGCACTCCAGCCTGGGCGACTGGAGACTCCGTCTCAAAAATAAATAAATAAATAAATAAATAAATAAATAA